TGAAATTGTGAGTTGTTCCAGTTAGAGCTATAACTTTGAGCTTCAAGTTCCTTTGAGTTTGTCCTCTATCTCTAACTCCTTCCCTTTCCCCACAAACATAAGTTGTGAGACAGAGAAGAAAACGACTTCGATTTTCTTCAAAATAATTAATATGAAAAAAGTTTCAAACGTCCTTCTTGAACTTTGAACAATTCAATTATTTTGAACTATGAAAAAAGTCTCAAAAATTCAGTTAATCTAGAATAGAGGGAGTATTAGAGTGTAGTAATAATATTCAGGCCTACCACAAAAAGCTTATTCTCCATATTAGACTTTTAATGAGGCAAGGACATATTCATGTTAATCACTGCTATAGAGAAGCTAGCTTTGTCACTGATAAACTAGCTAACATTAAAGAGGAGCCTTCTTGGAGGCTAAGGTTTATTTCATCTTTTGTGTTATTTACGTAGTATACATATAGGGGTCGTGCAAAACCCCCCACCATCACAAGTTAGTATAGCTAGCATTGATTTGGTTTTTGAAGTTGTACAAGTAATTATAAGGCCGTTACCATATGAATTATAACTACGTGTACATTGATTTGAATTTTGAAGGGAAAGAGTAATCTTGTGGAAAAATCCGAGGCTGATGGCGACTTCATTGAGATATATGTTGAACACGACTATATATAGTCGTGGTACTAATCAGACTACAATCATATTATTAAAACTTTATTTTATAGTTGATCCTTGCATTTTGCGAGAATACAACAAAACATATAATGAAGTTGTTACATAGAATCAGCTGCCAAAAGGCCTCTGGTTGCCGCAATCAAGATTGTCACCCGGACTAACTCCAAGAATTTCGCAATACCTCCTGTAAAACCCAATTCGATCTTGTACCATGTTGTCATTACCACGACCACATTCTAAGCCACCATTGATGATGTTTGCGATGACACCAAATCCAGGAAGACGATTGGCTGCTCGGTCACCGGCGGATGGGTTCCATCTTCCAATGATGACATCGTGGCAAGAAGGTTTTGGTGATTGAGTGGTCATCCAGAATAAGAGAGATGTCTTGAATGAGATTACTGGGTCTGTGGCTACTAAATCTGGATTGTTTAAAAGGTCCGCTCCGATGGCTCTTGTACATGGCCCAGCACTGTGTTTATTAATGTCAAAATACACGTAATTAGACACTACAAGTTCATCAAATTTAATCATAGCATAAATAAATTTATCTAGCTCCATGACAATATAATGAAAACAATTGTTACTCCCTCTATCCCAATTTATATGACACATTTCAGATTTCGAGATTCAAACAAATTTATCTTTGATAGTAAATTCTTCATATATCTTCTAAATATTTTGAATTATCAATTATTGAGACTTAGAGTACTTTTTATGTAATTTACAAATATATAAATTTCATTTTTAAAAAATTGAAGATT